AAACCATTGACATAACATTTAGATTCTTCACTGTCAAAAATCTATTTGTTAAAGAATTTATTGGTTCAATACACATATTTCTTTTAACTTTTTTTGTTTAAGTAATTCAATCTTTATGACATTCACATCTACTTTTGAGCAGTCAAACTCAAAAGATAAAATGCCTAATGACTTACAGGAAGAAACTGAACTCATTGCCACATATATTTGTCACTGAGCAAACATATTATGATCTATAGCTAAAGGTTGCATGTGGAAATGTTAGGCCTGAGACTTGTGCACCATAAAATCAAACATGTTATGCTATGGAAATTGATATCTTGATGCTGGTATGCCATTAATATTAAGATTTGTAACACTTTTCTGAATGTTGATTTTCATCACATTATTTGTTGACAAATTTCAATTGTTAAAAAAATCAACTAAGCTTTTTTTTTCTTAATTAAAAAAAAAATCCTTTGCAAAGATTAATAAATAGAAATTTATCTGTTTTCTCCAAAAGGAAATTAAAAATAATTTCTTCCCACCCAGATCATCCACTATTACTATCTCTCAAACGGTCAAAATCAAAAAAAAAAATTTTTAATTCAATACTGCAATACAATCAATCAAAAAATTTGTTTATTGATCATTAAACTGACAACAAAAAAAAATCATGAAAAAGTCTTTTGAACCCACCCTCATGACATTAATATTGATACTAACTCTGAGGTTCTAAGGTAAAGGCTCCAAGACAGGGCCACTAGTTTTTGAATGGTCCAAAATGTCAGAGCAAGATGAAAACCTAATGGTAGACAATGGTAGACATCATGGAAAAAACATCTAAAGCGAAGCATGATTTTCTTTCAGTCAAGTATCTTCTTCATTCAACCCTAATGTTTTGAACAAAAATAAATTTTCAGTTGCACAAAATATGATAGATATATAGGTATGATACAGCCAATGTAAAAATAACCATAATAATAATAATAAACATTTAAATATTTCTGTTCTAATTTCATTTCAAGCCAGTGCAGTAAAAAAAAGAAAAAAACGGCTTGTCCCCCCAACAATTCAATTTATTAAAGTTGAGCAACAAATGTTTAGATAATTTGTTGCAATAACTGCACTGAATTTTACAGTTCCATTCCTGTGCGACCAATCATTTCAAATTGGGGTAAAAAATAATTACACAAATATAACAAGGATAAATACAAAAGGAAGCATTAATACCATAGCCACTGAATGAAAGGAAGAGTAAATGCTATCACCACTGAAAGACACTATATGTTATTATCATATACTATATAATTAATGTTTGAAGAAGCCTAGACATAAAATTCTGGAGATAAAAAGCAAATGAAGTAAAACTGTACCTTGAGAATAACTAATGATAGTAGTAAAGGATAAGGGACAAGAGATCAAGAAAGGTTATTACTAAAAACTATACTGTTAGGATACAGAAGCATTCAAGAAAGGCTACGAAGAAAATCATACTTTTAAAATCAACAAAGTGTTCAAGGAAGACTTAACTAAAAACTATACTTTTAGAATCAAAAAAGCACTCAAGGAAGGCTATGATGAAAAATATACCCTTAGAATCAAAGAAACATTAAAGAAAGGTTATGACAAAAAATAGATCAAAGAAATTATTTTAAAAATTCAAAAGTTCAAAATTCAAAATTCGGCCCTTTATACAGAAGAATTGATCAGATACCCTGTCACGGAAAAAGTATCCTAGTACTATAGTGCAAGTCACTGAACTTTTTATTGGCTGTGTAGATCCTTGATCTCCTCTAAAAATGGAAATGTATGACCAAAAAAAACAAATCATAGAATTAAAGCTAAGACCTTTATCTACAATCCAATGATTTCATTTCATTGGTATGTAACGTTACCATAGAGGAACAATGCATCAAAGTTCACGAATTTACTATGTTACACAAAAAATATATTAAAAATGAACGAATTGGAAGAATTGAATTTTTTGAATTTTTTAATGGCCGATCTTTATCACGTGATAATAATAATAATGAAATTTTACAACTGAGAACGCATTGCTTTTTTATGTATTACGCAATCATGCTACGCAAGATCAAAAATTTATCTATTTTAGCATCATGTTGACATTAAAATTAAGTTGGTTTATTTTTTGGTCTATTTATGTATATGTTTTTTGGCCATAAAATATTTTATTTTATGAAAGCTACATCATTGTACAAAAGGATGCTAGGATATTTCGCATCCAACTATTTTTAGGAGGTCTTTAGACCGAGTCAGCTATATATTTAGATAAAATTCTGCCCTTGACGATCTTCAAAAATACGTGGCTAAATTTTTTTATTGCATTTTTGATTGGAATATTTTTTCTCCATCATGGCACAAAAAATTCAGCATAAACATGAAAATTCAATTACCGAAATGTTGCACAAAGTCATTAATGATTAGTAAAACAAAATATAGACAATGCACAAGCGAACCAGAAGACTAGATAAACCTGTTTAATTCAAATAGAATGAGTCTTCGGAAAATAGTAAAAAAAGGGGGCTAGTCGGAAAGTTTTAATTAAAGAATGGAAATAAAGAAAGAATTGGATACCAAAAGAATAATAGGATCATTGATGGAAGAACAATTGCAATAATGCAAGGAGGAAGAAACGTCAAAACAAGTGATCGTTATAAGATCAAAGTTTGCAAAACAAAGTCTATAAAAAAAAAGAGACTGTTATAAAGAAAAGAAAAATAAACTACAATGAATTAGGAAATGTAAAATGCCGATAAAGAATAACTGTAATTAAATAGCAGGAAAGAATTTTAAGCATTAGTGGAACATTATGTTTGGATTAAAAAAAGAGCTAAGACGCTAGAAGAAACATAAATGAAAACGTAAAAAACGAAGAAATTAATTTTTGTTTCGTGGAACATTTGAAAATTAACTTTAATTCGTGTAATAACAAAATTTCTACTTGCGGGAACAAAACAATTTGTTAATCTCTCCATCGTTAATTATCTTAGTGATTAATTTCGTATATAATCTTTGTCGTTAATTATCTTGGTGATTAATTTCATATATTATCTTTATCGTCAATTATCTTGGTAATATCTTATTTCGTTAATTTTCGTTTTTTTCATTGAGATAAATATTGATAAATAATGTATCTCAATATTTATCCCCTAAAAAATTTCTTGTATGAAAAGAAAAATAGACTCCCTTTTTAAAACTAAATTGAATGATGGTGGTTTTTTAAAAATCCAATGTTTTGATCACATAACCTTTCAAAAATTTTAACTTTTGAGTATAGTTGATCCGCACTATATCATTATTTAACTCTTTTATCGGATGTAACTTTATTCATTTTCATTCCCATTTAAATTGACACATAAATCTTTTCAAATTATAATAAACACTTATTGTGTATGAGCTTTTTTATTTATTTTCGCTTCCTATGCTATAATATAAACATTATAGTTTGCATGAATCTTAAGCAACATAAAAATTATAACTAACAATAAAAAATAAAGATAAATATAAGATGAAAGTAAAAAAAGTAAAGAGGTAAATGAAGTTATCAAAGAGCCAAAGAGCAAATATAGCCTATTTACTCTATTTTCTATTTAAAATAAAATGAAAATCAATCAACAGTTAATATTTTTTCAAAACAATTGAATGTAATAATAGTAAATGATAAGAATACTTGCCTATTTATTATTTAAAATAAATTGAAAATCAAACAGTTAATATTTTTCAAGCTTTAATAATAATAAACAATAAAAATACTTGCCTATTTATTATTTAAAATTAAAATCAATCAACAGTTAATATGTTTACAAAAACAATGGTAATGGTAGTAAATGATAAAAATACTTACCTTTTATTTATTATTTAAAATAAACAAAAATCAACAGTTAATATGTTTTCAAAAACAATGACATTGGCTGTAATAATAGTGAAATGATGAAAATACTTACATCCTATTATTATTTAAGATAAAACGAAAATCAACAATTAGTATGTTTTCAAAAACAATGATATTGACTGTAATAATAGTGAAATGATGAAAATACTTACTTTCTATTTATATTTAAAATAAACGAAAATCAACAGTTAATATGTTTTCAAAAACAATGATATTGACTGTAATAATAATGAAATGATGAAAAAATACTTACAGGCTATTTATTATTTAAAATAAAACAAAAATCAACAGTTAATATGTTTTCAAAAACAATGATATTGGCTGTAATAATAGGGAAATGATGAAAATACTTACAAGCTATTCATTATTTAAAATAAAATGAAAATCAACAGTTAATATGTTTTCAAAAACAAAGATATTGACTGTAATAATAATGAAATAATGAGAATACTTACCCACTACCATTATTTGAAATAAAATGAAATCAACAGTTAATATGTTTTCAAAAACAATGATATTGGCTGTAATAATAGTGGAATGATGAAAATACTTACCCACTACCATTATTTAAAATAAAATGAAAACCAAAGTTAATATGTTTTCAAAAACAATGATATTGACTATATATAATAATAGTAACTTACTGCTCTAATTATTATTTAAAATAAAATGAAACCAATAATTAATATGTTTTCAAAAACAATGATATTGACTGTAATAGTAGTACAAAAATACTTACGGAACTATTTATTATTTAAATCAAATGAAACCCAATAGTCAGTATTTTTTCAAAAACAATGATATCAAATATAATAATATTTATTGTAAAATAAATATAATAATAAAATGAAGTACTTCGCTTCACCAAATTATTGTTATGAATTGGGCTTGCTGAAGCCACAACAGCAAAGATAATTAAAAAGAGAAGAGAAATATTGAATTTCATTTTGATTTATTCAGATAATTTTTGTCAAGTTTTCACTTTTTCTTGATT